TAAAAAAAGAAAAGATGAAGGCTGATTCAAGCTTATCTCCATAACATCGTATTCGTAAGGATGTATTCCTATATCTGTTAGGAGTCTTTCACTTCAAATATGAAAACGCCTAACTCAAATGCTTACACAACAAGAGAATGTGTTTTCTTTCCTAGGAAGATGTTCCTCGGTGTGGGGGGCGAGGGTTGTGGTTGATTCGGTGGCTTCCTAGCCACATCAGAGGCACAGGTCTATTAATCTCCTCTCAGATGGTAAGATGGCAGCAACTCCTAGAAGCATCATCCCCTTCACACGAAGGGTCAGAGGCAGAAAAGGGTCTTTTATGAGGAGCTAAGACCTTCCCAGCCTGTCTCCGAAAGATGTCCCTGCATGTCTCATTGACCAGAGTGTAGTCATATGCCTCTTCCAAAGCCCCTTGCTGACAAGGAGACTGGAATCTGAGTGACGGACATAGACAAACCACGCCCCTCCCCTTCCCGCCCTGGTCCTGATGTTTGGGCGAGCTTTACCTGCAGCACAGGACTTCACAGAGCAGTCTGAATATGTGGACAAATCTCAGAGTTCTGTTAGCAGAGAAGAATAATGCAATCGGTTCCCCACCTCATTGCAATGAATGCTTTTCAACACAGTCCTCTCTCTGCACGGTTCTGGTAAGCAGAGATTTCAAATTAAGCACAGGGTAGCTAAATAATACCGTCTCCCCAGCAGTTCACACTCCCCTTACCATGGTGTATTAACTATGAGTAATTGCATGAAGTACAGACTTCAGTCCCCAGATCACTCCATAAACACCAGGTGTGTGTGCATCTTTTTTTTTCTTTTTCTTTTTTTTTAAATATATTTTATTGATTTTGTACAGAGAGGAAGAGAGAGAGATAGAGAGTTAGAAACGTCAATGAGAGGGAGTCATTGACCAGCTGCCTCTTGCACACCCCCTACTGGGGATATGCCCGCAACCAAGGTACATGCCCTTGACCGGAATCGAACCGGGGACCTTTCAGTCCCCAAGCCGACGCTCTATCCATTGAGCCAAACCGGTTTCGGCTGTGTGTGCATCTTAACCAGTGAGCACCATGTCTATCCTGAACACACAAGAATGGGATGGCCTTCCACCAAAGTTCAGGATGAATGTCAAGCCCGATGACACCATGCACAAGTCAAGAGGGTGTGGTTGTTGCGAACATAATGGAAGCTTTCTGGGGAGAACAGGATGGACCTCCCAAGCCAGTTCCCAAAGGCTTAAGAGCAGAGGGATGGAGTCTGGCTCAGGGGCTTACTGTGCTGAAGGGCGGGGCTCGGATGAGAGCATCTGCAGGGAGGCCAGAAGGGCCTGCATGGTTTGACTCTCCTAGCAGTGCCAAAGGAGGAGCACCAGGCTTCCCTGTCAGCTTGCCCAGATGGGGGACACAAAGGAGTGAAGAGAGGTGGGGGCTTAAAAGATATCAGTGCCGAACATAAAAAAATAAAGTCAGATTCTTTATTATAACATCACTTCTTTCCGAGTCTCTGGGTGACTGGTCACAGTGTGTTACTCAGTTCCCACACAGAGAGCAAAGTGTGTCCTTGCATCACCTCCACATCTCCCACTGCTAACCTCACAGGACATTTTATAAAAATAAAAATAAAAATAGCCGAAACCGGTTTGGCTCAGTGGATAGAGTGTTGGCCTGCGGACTGAAAGGTCCCAAGTTCGATTCCGGTCGAGGGTATGTACCTTGGTTGTGGGCACATCCCCAGTAGGGGGTGTGCAAGAGGCAGCTGATCCATGTTTCTTTCTCATGGATGTTTCTAACTCTCTATCCCTCTCTCTTCCTCTCTGTAAAAAAATAAAACAAAAATAAAAAACAGTTAGTCAAAAGAGGAAACTGGCCAACGAAGGTGAAGTAAAGCAAAGAAACAGGAAGTGGCGATGCTGGAGGTAAAATCCCAATCTACGCAAGTGGAGCTCCAGAGGAAGCCGCTGCTGTGGGGCTGGTGGCTTTCGGTGTGAGGACCAGCTTAGCCACACACAGCGCCGAGGCGGTTGTGATGAAAGAGGGAGGATGCCCAGAGGACAGAGCACGTGGTGCCAGCAAGAAATTTCACATGAAATGAACTCTTGGAGATGCTTCATAACACGGGAAGCTCAAAGAATAAACTGTTGGAAGCTGATCTAGACTTAGAAAGGAGGAAACAGTTCACAACAGCACAGAGAAGTCGGCTCCTTCTAGGAAGTCATACAGTAAGAAGACAAGCCCTGCCTGCTCAGGCTAGTCTCCAGGTTTTCTGCAAAGAAATAATGCACCTGTATTCTCAATAGTTCTGCTGTTTTACATTAATGTCCTAGTTTAACTATTTTTTTCTTCATTTCTTTATACACTTATAACCCAACAATTACCTTACAGTTCTGTTGCCAAAGTTTTGACAAAAATGTTAAAGGTCATGGAACAATCATATTTGTCCCATTGATTATGAAGGTCATTTTGCAGCCTTTGAGCTTCATTGTTATAGCCCAAGTAAAGCGAGTAGTGCCTGTACGTTTTTATATAACCATTATATAATGTGTGACTCTTTTGGCCACCCTTTGTAAACCACAATCCTCCCGTTTCCCCATGACGCCATTATCTCGAGACTTCCTTCCTCACTTCCCCATAGGAAGCCCCTCTTCCTTTGCCTATTCTGTTAGTATCAGTGATCCCAAATTCTGTCCTTGACTCTGTTTTTACTCTACATCCTCTTTCAATTCGGGTCTTTTGTAAATGTTGCAACTTCTCTGTCACAGGTGGTGATGGTGGTGTTAAGGGGATAATAAAGAAAGGGGGTTTGACTGAAGCCGGTTTGGCTCAGTGGATAGAGCATCGGCCTGCGGACTCAAGGGTCCCAGGTTCAATTCTGGTCAAGGGCATGTACCTTGGTTGCGGGCACATCCCCAGTAGGGAGTGTGCAGGAGGCAGCTGATTGATGTTTCTCTCTCATTGATGTTTCTAACTCTCTATCCCTCTCCCTTCCTCTCTGTAAAAAAATCAATAAAATATATTTTAAAAAGAAAAAGGGGGGGGGGGCTTGGCAAAATGATAGGAAGGAATTCGGGGTGGAGGAGGGGAAGTAGGATGGCAGAGTGTCACCTGTATTTCATAATCTGGATTTAGGATAGAGCCCGAGAGAAGCCAATGTGAGTATCTGTGAAAGTGTTGTTCATTATTTTACAAATATCTGCTGAATTGTACTGTATATCTAATATAGTTCTATATACTAGAACACAAGGTAGCGACAGATGGTTGGTGTAAGCAGTGCATTCCATTTGGCATTATTATTATTTATTTGAAAGAGAGAGGGAGGGGAGAGAAAGAAACATCAATTTGCTGTTTCATTCATTGGGTGATTCTTGTATATGATCTGGACTACCTTTAATTTTTTAGCTGTGCCCTTAGGAGGTATTACCCAAATCTCTGCCATTTAACCTGTTGATTACTCTGGTGAAGGAAACTGAAGAGCCTCTTTATGGGAAAGATATTTTATTCTGGGCAGGAGGGCATCCAGCCCCACAAGCCATGCCAAGCTATCTGCCTATTAGGACAGGCGGTGTTACAATTCAGAATGGACCTTATTAAAAAATCCTGACCTTACCTGAGCAGATGTGTCTTGCTTTGTGAAATCATGGTATTCCCCAAAAGTCATGCATAAATCAGTTTCTTCAATCCCTTACACTTCACAGTGAGTTATTATTTACACCAGACTTTGCATAGCTTTGTTTGTTGAGTTTTTCCCCTTAAAAATGTTCAATGGCAAGAAAAGCAGAGAAATGCACAGCTGAGAATGGTTCCCTGATTGTAAGTGATGGAGCTTGTGCTTAAAATAATGAGAAGAATCTTATTTTAAATGACCCCAGGAACGACCGAAAAGGTCCCTACTGTGATGTTTTTGGAAAACTAAGAATTATCTCATAAACGCGAACTTCCAATGCGCTTTGTGGGCAAGGCTAGACTTTTACAAACCCGATTGGTAGGCGAACATCCATGTGCACTCTGCGTTACCAAACCCAGTTCTAAATAAAGCTGAAATTTGGGTGGGTTACACGATCACCCTCGGCCAATGTGCCAGCTCCTATCATATTCAGAACCCTGTGTTCTGAGGTGCTCAAGTTAACGCGGAGGAATTTGCTAAACAAATCTCTGGCAGGGGACCAGAGCAGCGATTTTCTGCGTCCTTTAAGTCCTTTCGAACAGAAACGGCAGAACACACCCAAGTCCAGAATTCCTAACTTTGTGGAGTTTCGATCTGGAAAAGCTTACTACCGTTTGAGTGCTAGCTAACTCACTCACTTCCCCCAATGGAGCATCCCACTTACTTATTTTTAAAGTTAAACGGGAGGGGAGGAGGGGAGAAACTTCCGAACGTTGATTGAGCCAGCAATTAGGAATAAAAACAACCGATTTCTCGTGTTTCCTGTGGGAAATGGAAGACACACAGGCTAGGAGGAGATGAAGTCTGCCTCCCAGGAGGGGAGCGCAGGGCTTCCAGCTGTGAGTGGGGTCTGCGCGGGAGCAGGTCTGCAGGGGAGGCGGGTGTCGGCCTGGGTGGGGGTGACGGCGGAGGCTGGGGCTCGGGGACTTGCGAGCGTCCTGGCAACAACAATGAGTGGCGGCAGCGATTCTGGAGACTCATCTTGAGAGTCACAGGCTTGGGGGAGAGATGGCTAATATGTGGGCATGGTGTTTTAGGACTGTGCTCAGGGAATGGAAAAGCGAACAGGAAAGTGGGGGTAGGGGGGGAGATGGGAGAGAAGGAGAAGATGAAACAGACGACGGAAAGAAAAGAGAGGGAAGAGAGAGCTGGCAAGCTGGACACAACAGTGGGAGCAGAGAAAGCAAAGTAGGTGAAGGGCGGACGAGGTGCGCAGGGCGAGCGGTCCTCCCGCCAGCAGGGGGCGCGCGCGCGCCGGGCCTGCCGCCCGCCGCGGGGCCCCGCGCCCCTCCCACCCGCCGCCCCGCGCCTGCGCTTCCTGCCCTTCCCCGTCCGGAATGCTCCTGCCGCTGCTGCGGGGGAGCTGTTTCCCTTCCTCCTCTCCCGGCGGCGGCGGCGGCGGCGGCGGCGGCTTGGGCGCGGGCGAGGGCGCGGGCAGCCGACCAGCGGCGCAGCTGCCGCGCGAGGCCCGCGGGCCGCCAGGGGTGCTCGAGCGGGCGGGCGCCGAGCCCGGGGCCGAGCCCAGGCGCGCGGCGGCGGAGGCCGAGGGGGCGCCGGGGCCCGGGGCGGGCGGCCCGGGGGCGGGCGGCGGCGGCGGCGGCGGGCGGCGGGCCGAGCGGGGGCCGTATGCGTGCATGGAGCCGGGCGCCGCGCTGCAGAGGCGGGCAGGGGTTGGCGGCGGCGGCCTGGGCACGGGCTCCCCGGCGCTGTCGGGGGGCCAGGGCCGCCGGAGGAAGCAGCCCCCCAGGCCGGCCGACTTCAAGCTGCAGGTCATCATCATCGGCTCCCGCGGCGTGGGCAAGACCAGCCTGATGGAGCGCTTCACCGACGACACCTTCTGCGAGGCCTGCAAGTCCACCGTGGGTAAGCCAGGGCTCCGCGGCCGGGCGCGCCGGGGCCGGGCTCCCCTGCCTCCCCTCGGTCCCCAGGGCCCCGGCTGGTGCCCTTCACCGCGCCGGCGGCCTCGTTTCTCATCGCTGTTCCTCTCCCACTGGATGGGCTTGCACTTAGCGGATGGGCCTGTCGGTGACATCTAAGGGGATGAGAGGGGGTTGGAGGACCCATGGAAACCCTCGATGCTATCCCCAGAGCCGGATGGAGGAACTTGGTGTAGCTCCGCGCAGACTTGCTCTGGGAGCCTCCTCTCCTCCTGGCACAGACCCCGCAGGCCCTCCCGAGGTCCCGGTGGGAGCGGGTTGCGGAGCACAGGCGTCTCCGCGCCCCCTCCCGCGCCCCCAAAGGGCGGTCATGAGCTGGGGTGATGCATCGGTTCCGTCCCGCCCTCGAGCCCATGGTGAGCATCTCTACGGAAACTCTGGACCCTTCACGTTACTCACCCGAGGAAGGGGTGGTGGGAGGTGGGCTGCAGGGGGGACAGTGCCGTGAGGTTGAAGCTGGGCCCCTGGCCGGAGGCCTCAGTGGTCATCCACCAGGATAGCCGCCGCTAGTGCCTTCGCTTAACCGCGCCAGGAGTTCCCCACCGTGAACCAAGGCTTATAAGTTTGAACTCACTTTTATGGCGTGCAGAAATGATGACGCCTAATACTTCCTGTGGAGGATCTGTGGCGACTAGCAAGACTACAACTACACTCCATTGCTTTAAGTGTAAATGCGGGGCAGAGGGACCTGGCCGCACCACTACTTCGTGACCTCGAATAACCCGGGGACAGAAGTGGAGGAGATAGGTTACCCAGCACCACCCCGGTGGGTGCAGTACAACAATGAAGGAAATACAGTAGCTCTCCAGGTCAGGAAGTGTAATGCCCCGGGGACCTAAAACTGAAAGTGCAGGGACATTTTTTTGATGAAGTCAGATGTGCAGGACTTGGCATTGAGGTCTTTCACGTGGGTATGGGTAGCAGAGATTTCGGTGGAAAGCCCCTTAAGAGCTGTCAAAGCCGGAGGAACCACAGAGAGCTGGTTCTTCAAAATAAAGGGTATTCACCGTCAGTGGTAGGCAAGGAGTGGTTTCCCCAGGGGATGTCCGAGGAACATTGAGTAATATTTAAGTTTGAAGTTCAGAATGAAAAGTATTCTGTAGTCTTGTGTATAAATTAAGTGTTGTAACCAGTGCTAGTTCCAAGGCAATGCAACTTGGGATGAGTTTGTTTTAAATTACCGTAACAAAAGAAAGTAATGCCCAAACTTGGTATTGTCGTTTTTGTGAGAATTCGTTTCCCTGAATGTTTCTTTGGATTGGATCGTTTTTTGTGTTCTCTATACCCTGTTTGTTTTTTAAATGTTGGCCTTGGGACCATGCTATTAAAATTCAGTAGCATAATTATACCTGTTTCATATATTTAATCTTGGGTCATAAAAAGTACAGGGACTTATTAAACTATTAAATGAGGGTTTATACTGTTACTGTATAGTACCTGAAATTGAATTAAAAGCAATTCAGAATTACCAATCTTTTATGATTCTACACTTAAAATATGCAAAAATGAGGGATAAACCCGGCTGGTGTGGCTCAGTGGTTGAGCATCAACCCATGAACCAAGAGGTCACCAGTTCTGTTCCCAATCAGGGCACAGGCCTAGGATTCCAGCTCCATCCCCAGTAGGGGGCATACAGGAGACAGCCAATTGATGGTTTTCATCAATGTTTCTATCCCTCTCCCCCCTCTCTAAAATCAACAAAAATATATCTTCTATAACAATAAAAGGATAATGTGCTAATTAGACCAGACAGCTGGACGACCTTCCGGTCGAAGCCAGGTCTGTGAGGGCTGAGCCCCTTGCCCGAATTTTGTGCATCCGGCCTCTCATTTTAAATAAAAAGGATAATACAGCTATCCTGTGTTATGAAATCAGCATAGGCACTAGTGGGTGACTCACAGGGCTTGGCGGGATGGAGGTGAGATAGGAGCAGAGGTGTGCTTTAAGGCAGAGGAGAGATGAAGGGTTTTCTAAGCTGGGGCCATAGTGGAGCAGCACCCCCATATTCTGAGAAAGACTTGGGAACGTTAGAAATGTGGCATCTTCGAGACCTGGATGCCATGCTGAAGAGGGTGGATCTTATTCTATAGCAACTGGAGTCTTGGCGTGAAGACAGTGAAACTCATAGGGCAGGATTCCGTAGGATATTTGGGAACGAGAAAGTGGCAGGTAAGGAGACCAGGGAGTTGGTTCCTCTGTCCCCTTAACAATCCTGAGTACATATACTTACACATGCACGTACACCGTGAGGTCCCTTATGTACGTGGATTCTTGTCTTGCTCATTTTTGTTTCTTGCACACATGGCCTATAGTCCTTGGCTTGGTGCATGTTAGTTAATTGTGGGGCAAGAGAAAGGTGATCGTTGCTGTTCTGACCCGGCGTGTGAAGACATGAAGAAAGCTAATTAACCTCTCTAAGCTCTGCTTCTGAGTGGCTTTCTCCTTCCATTTATCAAATTACTTAGCGTTTACACTGTGTGTCCGGTGATATGCTGCCCCCTGGGCACTGAGCAGTGAACAGGACATAGTCTATCCAGATGTGGCCAGAGCCCTGGGGAACGATGATCCATGTTGATAGGGCAGCGGCCGAGATGCACAGAATATTTGAGGAAGGTAGCGGAAGACCTTCCATTTGGGTAGGAGAGGACTTGTCAGGGGAAGTTTCCTTCCCATTGGAATGCATAAATATAAATTCATTCCTTGAGTTCCTTTAGATAAATGCTATTTAAATGTGGCGTTGGGTGTGGTGTAGAATTGTGATTGCCTCACCTGAATGCCTGCTGTCTGAGCAGTTAGCTCATACGTTTTTCTGGGGCCAGCTTGTCCACTGTCATCTCCATGTCGTCAGCTCCACACAGAGAAAGGTTCTCCTCCACCGTAGCATTTTCCCTCGCCCTGTCCAGACTTGCAGACGTGGTCTGCTCCTGACAGCAGAGTCTGGAGAAGACGGTGGCCCCACCACGGGGGAGGAGTCTGAGCGTGCACAGACCAAGGTGCCTGTGTAATTCACAGGCTAGAACAGACTGCCTCCAAAGTGCCTTTTAAAAGTGAATCAGGATCCCTGGACTCCCTATAAAAGAGCATTGTGGAAGGGCTTGGGGATTTTAAGTGAGCAAATGTTGATTTTAAAAAAAAATTTATTAATCAAATCAGAAATTGACTTGGTTTAAAGACAGAAAATTCACCAGGGTATGAAAAGCTAACAAGACTTTAATATTTGACTATTTAGTGGAAATTGTCCAAGTGAAGGATTATTTTCATACTGGATGCCTGGTGTACAAGTTTATGCAAGAGCGGGGTCCCTCGGGATGGCCTGCAGAGATCAGGCCCCAGCTTTCACCCCCAGCCCCGCCTGGCACCCCACCTTGGCCTGGTGCTGCCCTCTCACCTGCTCTACCATTCTGCCTGCAGGGTGATTGATGGGGCCCCCACCCCTGCACTGCCCAGCTCCTTCAGTGCCTGGGAGCCCGGCGGCTGCCCACACCTAGCTCCATCAGCGGGGCAATCCCCAGCTCGCACCCACCATGGTCTGGCACCACCTGCTCCACCTCCACTTTTACCAATTGCCAGCTCTACATCGCCAATGTCTGCCATGTTTAACACTGCCTCCTGGTGGTCAGCACACGTCATAGCAAGCGATCAAACTCCTAGTCTCCCAGTGGAACAACTGCCCGAGGGACAATTGCATATTAGGCTTTTGTTATATAGGATAGGATAATGGTATCTTGTATTTATGGAATTGAATTATTTAGTCTGATATAACTAGCATATCAGATTTTTAAAAGTACAGGAGCAGCTTTTTAAAGTTTCAGAAATGGGAAAAGAAACTAGTTGACTGTAGAAATTTACAACTATCTAATGTTTAAAAAAAAACAAAACACAAAATTATATGTTTGTCAACTTTTGTTTTATTTCATTGCTACCTCTTAATTTTACTTTGACTGAAATGGTTTTATCAGGCAAAACCCACCCCCACTTCAAGAACATTGCATTCTAGAAAAAACATTAGAGCAAGATTAAAGAGCCTGGGCTCTTTGTTTAGGCTTTGGATAAGTAATTTAGTTGTCTTTACATATACAATACAACATTCTTTTAGTAATAGCTACAATTTGTTGAGTATTTACTATGTATCAGTAAAAGTACACTCTTTATGATCCTCATAACAGTCCTGAAAGTTTTCCCCATTTTACAGATAAGAGAGATAAACTTAGCCACTGTGGCACCATGGTCAGCAAGTGGTCAGGGGCAGGGCTACAGAGAGTCCTTAGCTTACTTTGAGATTTATATTTACTTTGCTTTGTGACATTTCTAATGTATTAAAATCAGAATCATTAAGCCCTTTACTGCTTATCTAATTTGGCCCTCACAGAGACCTGTGAGGATAGTGCTGTCATTGATCTATGGTACCAATAAAATTGACTTTCTCTATGCCCCTATCATCACTTGTCACCTGTCTTTTGGATATTAAAGTAATACTCTAAGAATTGGATTCCTTATCTAAATATTCATTCATTTACATATCTTAAGCCTTCTACATATTTATAAAAATTTTCCAAGATTTGACATTTTAAATAGAAAGTAGGAGTAGGGTCATCAAAACCAGAATTCTGGTTTTCCTGGGCAGTAAAATTTCCCCCAGAGTGCTGGAGACCAGCATAGGGATTGCCAGTTCTTTTATTTTGCCAAGTAAAGATATTTAATAAAAATAAAAACCAATTGCCAGCTTAAAAAAGATTTAAAATCAAGTTGTCTCTCCCCCAAATTAAGAAATTCAGAATATCCTAATTAAAAAGGTTTTAAATTCAGAATATCCTAATTAAAAACTTTTTAAAAGTTCTGAGACCCTCCCTACTCCGTCTTCATTTTTCTAATTTTGTAGCAGTGCGTGAAACTTCCCAGGCTGGCCCCTGAGAGGGGCTGGTCTTA